TAGAAAGCAAGAGAGGGGAGGCGCGGGTGGGGTGGGGTGGAAGGGCAAAGAAAACAAAGAAAATAAGATCTGGGGTGGGGGGTGGGGGGGTAGAGAGGAAGCTTCTCCCAGCCCCAGCAAAATCCCAAGGACCAAACGAGTGACCTGGACCAAGCAGTGGCCCCAGTGTTTGTTGTTATCATATTACTGAGATCAGACTGAAGACAGGAAGAAGACAGCACTCGGAAGCCAGATTTGGTTTGTGGCAACTTAATTTCATAGATGTCATAGATATTAGTGCTGGAAGGGTCCTCGGAAGATGATCGAGTCCAGCCCCCTGCACCAAGGGCAGGAAGTCAGCTAGGGTCAAAGTATTGACCCAAAATAACAGCAGCCGAGTTTGGGGAAAAAAGCAAAAGGTCATCATGTAACCAGATCTGGAACAGGAAGTAGTACCAAGGTGAAAACAAGCGAGTCACTCCATCGATAGGGGTTCGGGTGTCCCATCACCCACATGGCCATTTTCCCAGGCACAGGCTTCTGTTCAGAGAAGCCAAAAACCAGTAAGCTGTCATTTTTTGCAATACTTGTTTTCAAATGACCCAAGGAGCTGGGCTGGGACTTTAGCAGAGTCAGGCCCCTGAGTCTCTTAACTCTCCTTTGAAGGAGCAATAAACTGAGATGGTCAGTCAGGTCTTAAAGAGAAAATGCACCCCAGGCAAGGATTCAAGCCATGACTTTCCTTCTCTATAGGGTAGGAGGTAGTGTTGAAAAGCTACACAAGCCAGTTTGCCAGCAAGAGCTGCAGCCACACCTTAGCACCGTGTGTTTCCTTCCGATGCCCAATGAGCACCGTAAAATTCATACTTACTTGAGTAGGTCCGAATCACCTCAAATGTCTGCCGGTTTCCACGCCTGAAAATACAAGGAAAGCTCTGTCCTTATGAGAGGGAACTACAAGTGCGGGGGGCACAACCAAGGTCTAGGTCACAGCTGTTAGCATGACAACAAGATGAAGCCAATGTTGCACAGGTCTCCAGTGCACAGGCCCTTACCACACAAGTCGAAAGTGAGATACTTCCCTGACGCAGTGAAACTTTTCTGCTTTTTTGTCACGGGTGGAGAAGTGGCATTTCAGAGGGAAAAATAAAAGGATTGTGAAGGGCAACTTACCAACCCCTTTGCTGATGCAGCTGTTTATTTTCCCGTTTACCAGCTAGAAGAAAAAAAAGAAGCAGAATGGGTGACTTGGGATTTAAAGTGCAGGAAAAGGAGAAGAAAAAGATCTGGAAAACCAGAGTGAACAAACACTGCACACAACTGGCAAAGGCAAGCAGCAAAGGCGGCAGAGGGCACCAGCTGCAAAAAACATTTTGAGAACCATCTCCATCAAGCAAACCTGCAGCCAGGACCAGGAAAGGACACTGGATCCCAACAGCTGTCCCAGTGCCCAGCTAAAAACCGTCTTTCATTTTTAAATTTTCCCTGTGCCTCAAAGCTTGCAGAAAAAAGGGGGGGGTGGGGGGAGAGCTTGCACCTTCTTAGTTGGTCTAATACAAGGTATCCTCTCTCAACCAAGAGTTCTGGAGTTTTGCGTGTCTTTTGGTCTCAGACCAACACAGCAACTAAATGCATCCCAGCTAAAAACCACACATTCAGAAAGTCTGACCAGGACCCCCCCGATTGAGTCAAACTTATCTCCAGTCAAATTGAACTGGTCTTAGATTTAGTACAACCCTCCGAGTCTGTGGGTCTGCAGGGGAATTTATCATGCTCTCAGATTTACGTCCATCGGCTGCACTCTGTGAGGTTATTTCTTTGGGGAGCTGAGCAGTTCCCATATACCCATTCATTTTCAGAAGTGAAAGGAGCCTTTCCTCCACACCTCCCACCCATTGCTGGCTGGCCTTCACTACCAGCAGCACAGGAATCCCTCAAGATTTTTTCCTGAAACCTCTTGCCCCCAGAGGACACAGCATCTGCAGGAGCGATGCTGTCAAAGCTCCCTTCCATGGCAGATGTCCCCACAGCTCCCCATCGAAGTGCCACAGCATGGATGGGTAGAGGATGCAAAGCCGACATGCAGCTGGACTGCGCTCTCTCCCATGGCTCTCCCTGGCTGTAGAAGCAGGTGGAATATGGAGGGTGCAGGCAAGTCCCAACATCTTCCTTCCTTCCAAATCCCAGACCTACTGTACTTCCACAGAAGGGCACTACTGGGCGAAGGGGGAGAGGTATGATGCAGGCCATAAATTGGTGCCCTATGTAAGCAGCAACACCCCTGCATCCAACCACAGAAGCAAAGCAACGGCAGAGATG